GTGTGTGTGTGTGTGTGTGTGTGTGCGTGTAGTATGTACACTGGTGTTTGGCACCTAGTAGATGATGCCGAGTAAATGGAAGATGGTTGATATAAATTATGGCTTTCCAGTACCTTATACTGCCTGGGAAATCACACATCTCCTGGATGTCCCTTCCCCCTCTGAAAGGCTGTCACTCTGTTAATGACCGTCGCCCTTCTAGTACAGCCAACCTGTCCTTCCCACCCAGCTCTTTGTGCTATTTCCTTCTCATCTTGCATCAGAGAAACTCTTCCCACTTGCCCCTCCTGCCAGGCTGCCTCTTGCCCTTCAGAGCCAACACACAGGACGAGTTGGACAACTGTGCCCATATGTCCCCACCACCCCTCACATCCTGCGTCCTGGCTTGGGCCCCTCCACTCTGAAGCCATCCCTCTGGCCAGGTCTCCTGGACCCTTTCCAGCTATATCTCCATCCATCTCGGTCCAGCAGGTCCCACCAGGGTCCCCATCTGCAGGTCTCCTTAGGAAGCAAGACACTACTTCCTGCCATAGTCCTGCTCTTCTTGCCCCGCCCCCAAGTTCAGGTGCATTCGCTCCCAGCATCCCCTCCCACCTTCTCAGACTGCCCACCTTCCCTGGGTCCCAATCCAAAGTCACACCTCCAGCTGTCACCCACTCCGAGGACCATCTCCCGCCCAGGCCAGTCTTTAAGACCAGACCTGCGCATCCTCCTGCTCACCTGTCCTCCACAGTTGCTCTTCTGACCCATGGTCTCTGGCACCTCAGGCCTGCTTTCATGCTGCCTCCCCGAACATGGAGCTGAGGGATAACCCTGATTCCTTTCTCCCTCCTGTCCCTGGTATCAGAGCCTTGAATAGCTCCTGCTGTCAGCCCTCAGAGTCCCTGGGCACCCCAGCCCCCTCCTCATCCAGCTCCTTCACGCCTGCRTCCAAGRTCACTAGGATTACAGGCATGAGACTCTGTTTCAAAATAAAAACTAAAAAGGGCCAGGGATATAGTTCAGTGGTAGAGCATATGTGGGTTCCATCCCCAGCATCCTCCCCAACACACACACACACACACACACACACACACACACACACACACACAGTAAAGGGAAGCAAGAAGAGTAACATCTCTGCAAGCCCAGAAGCTTGGATTCTGCAGACAATTAACACACACTTTGCTTTATTCTCCAACAACAACGTGTGAGGGGGGTTCTCATGCCGCACCGAGGACACCAAAGCCCAAAGAGAGCAAATAGCTTGTCCAAAGTGAATAGCGGAGTCAGGATTTGAACCCCAAACAAACATAGATCAATAGACGACGCTTGCTGGGTGAAATGGGTGAACACAAGTTTCCACAGATGCAGGGCCTTGCTGGGGAGRCAGGGGAGTAACCGGAGACAAAGGGAATAGGAGCAGCAGCACTCCACGCAGAAGCAATGGCGGGGCTGTGTGCTCTTCCGCGGCCAGCTCAGCCAGGCCACCTCTGCCATCCTGCAGTGCACGGGACCCTGCTGCAGGCCCTCAGCCTCAGTGGAGAGAGAGAGCCTGGGAAGAGGCCCCTGGAGCAGGAAGAGGGCAGATGAAAGGATTAGGAGGCCCYGGCTCAGGCTTGGTTGGCTCCCAGGGAGGAGGGCTTGACCTGGACCATGCAGGGTTAAGAAAAAGGAGGTGGAGGCTATCAGGAGGGCTATGGCTGCCAGACACCAGCTGACCCCCACTTTTGTCTCTGTAGGGGGTCRAGGCCAAGATCAGGTAGGAGTCAGAAGGCTAGGGGGGCTGTCCCTGGGGCCGCAGGAGCTGCCAGGCTCCCCACTCGCCCAGGGTCCTAGAGGCTCTGCTAGGGCAGGACCAGCCTGGAGCCTGAGATGCTGCTTTCCAGCAAGGAGTCTGGCCAGGTAGCTTAGCCAGGTGAGGCAGAGGACCCTGCAGGAGCTCCTTTGTCTCCCAAGCACCAACCCCCCCCCCCTTTCTTTTTCACCTTGGGAAGCTCCCTGCTGCCTCTGTGCCTCTGTCTCCTGTCCTGAAATTTAGAGAAGGCCCCTACCAGAGTGCGCAAATCGGCAGCTCCCCAAGCCACCATCTCTGATCCAAAACCAACAGAGCCCACAGCTCCAGGCAGACAAGGGGCAAAGAGTAGGGGCAGTTGTAAGAGGTAGTCACATGGCCATGACCATCTGGGCTGAGACCCAGGGGCACAGAGTTAATTCCTTTGTGTCCACGTGACCCCACATTCCAGAGCAGGCTCTCCCAGGGTGCTGGCCATCAGTATGGTCAGGCGCCCCAGCCTCTCAAACCTGTTTTGAGATGCAGAGGACCTCCTGTAGCTCCAGCTGCCCCAGAACCAGAGCCCATGGCTCCAAAATTCAAGTGCTCACTCCTCCCTGCAACAAAACCCCAGAGCCCCCGGCAGAGTTAGTGGTGGCAGAGGGTCAGGTCTGGGAAGCCGAGCTAGAAGGGAGTGAAGCCCCTTCAGGTGGGAGAGGAGGAAAGCCAGAGAGGGGCAAATTATTAAATACCCTGAGTCTCAGTGTCCTCATCTGTTAAGTGGGGTAACAACAGCATCTAGGATGGGTATTTTCCTGTCAAAGGAGAATAATAGCCACAACCAGCCTCAAGGATTTTAATGGAGAACTTGTATATAACAATGCCTGGCTCACTGTCAGGCCTGAAGTTGGTTTGGTTTTGGTTTTGATTTTTGGTACCAGGGATAGAACTCAGGGGTGCTTAAYCACTGAGCCACATCCCCAGCCCTTTTTACTTCTTATTTTGAGACTGGGTCTACCTAGGTTGCTTACAACCTTGCTAAGTGGCTGAGGCTGGCTTCATACCTGTGATCCTCCTGCCTCAGCCTCCTGAGCCACTGGGATTACAGGTRTGCACCACCCCGCCCTGGCTGGTCGGAAGCTCCTGTTCAACTATTTCTCTCCTTTGCTCTTTCTTTTTGCCAAAGCCCCCCAGGTTGCCACCTACAGTGCAATTCTGCCAGTTTCACCAAGCCCTGTGGGTGACAGGAGAGGGAGAGGAGTATGGTTGTTGGTGAAGAAGGTTCTGGATATTCCAGAGCATAGCTGGCCTCTGTGGTCACTGCCCTACTTGTCCCAGACACTTGCTCTGTTCCTTCCAGAGAATCTTCAGGCCACTCAGGAGCTGGCTTGGGGAGCCCAACTCCCCAACTCAGGCAAAAATATAAACATACTGGATGTGGACCAAGGGCACACCTGTGCACACACGTGCACCCACAACACACCTTGCCTAGGAGTATATGAAGAATAAAAGTTAACCCTCCAATGTGGGGATAGGGGCCATCAGCTGACCTTCAATTTAGCACCCCAGAACAAGATAGGGGTCTCTCTGACCTAATTCCAGATCCTTGTCCTGGATCCAGATCTACCCCCAGGGGATCCATATTATAGATCTAAGCTCCTTTGTGCATCTACTACTGCTGAAAGTAGATACCAAATAACTGCTCACTGAGGTTCCCTCCTAGGAGAACTGAAGATTTGGAACAGAAAGGAGACCAACCCACTTTGCACTGAGAATCTTTTCATGCTCTTTGATATTTTTTTTTTCCCTTTCGCCATGTGTATGTAAGAGCTTTTTAAAAATTAAACTACTGAAGAGATAGTGGAGGGCTTTGCTCCTTGTGCTGAGGAGTCTGGACAGGGAACAAGGAACCAAGGAAGGTTCTAAGCCAGGGTGTGTCATGCTGGAAGGAAGAGGATTGACTGATAGAGACCAGAGCCACCAGGAGCCCAGCTGGGAGGCTAGGACACTTGTCTTCAGTGGAATGAAGTAGGGACCCATGATTTGGGCTTTGGTGGAGGGTAAGATTTACTGGATCCCCAAGACCAACACCCAACCTGTCCTGTCTGGTAGATGCACCCTGGGGCCCCCAAAAGAGGCAGGACAACTACACAAGGCACCAAAGTTAACCAACCCTTAAAACAAACAAGAGTGCCAGRGAAGCACGGCTGGTGGGGCTGAGGCTCCCCAAAGGAGCAACATGCTCTAGAATCTAGACTCACCATCTGCTTCCTGCCCACCCCTCTGTTTCACCAAAGCTGAGACAAAGGTGGGTYTGCTCTCTAATTAAGTTTGAAAGTAGGAGTCCATGGAGGGAGATTTCAGAACTCTCAGTCCAGAATCCCTGACTGAATATTGTTCAGACGGTACCCCTGAGTGATCGCCAAACATGGGGCCTGCGAGTGGCTCCCCTGGAGTCTTCCRGATGTCCCCTCCTGTAGATGGCCTTGCTCCCTGTGTTGGTGGGTTTCCCTCCAAGACCCAGGAAGATGCGGAATGGGGTCATGGATGGAGTCATGCTCTGAGCCTCACATCCCTGGGCCTTGGGGTCAGAAGTCAGAGGAACCTTGGTGTCTGGGAGGAGCCCTGGCTCTCAGCTGACCTGGGTTTGAGCTGCAGTGAGTCTGGATGTTCTTGGGTCTTTAATCTGTCTGAGCTTGGCAGGCATATGTGTAAAACGGGTCGCYGCACCTTCCTGAGGGCCAGGGTGCATGCAGCATGGATGGCAAAGTGCACATCTACCTGGCACACTGTGGAACCCCTGGCCTGTCGTTAACACCTTCAGTTCCCTCCTTTGAAGTGGCAGAGAGATACCCAGGCAGAGATGTCAGACAAGGACAAGGACAGGAAGAGAAGCCCCAACTTCAAGGAAACGAGCAAAGTGTGCTAGGTTTGTCCCCCACCCTTCATCTTACAAACGGTTGTGCCAAGTTGGTCTTAGCTACCTCTGTGACTGTCTTGAAACCTTYAGAAGTTTCCAGTCAGCAAAGGGGGAGGTGGTGTAAAGGTCCACAGATCAAAGGTTAAGAACAATTTGGACCCACCTGACATTTGTAGCCAGAATCATAGAAACTTCTTTTTGGGGGAGGAGGGGGAGGCCGGGGGATTGAACTCAGGGGCACTTGACCACTGAGCCACATCCCCAGCCCTWTTTTGTATTTTATTTAGAGACAGGGTCTCACTGAGTTGTTTAGCACCTCACCTTTGCTGAAGCTGGCTTTGAATTTGTGATCCTTCTGCCTCAGCCTCTGGAGCCACTGGGATTATAGATGTGCACCACCGCACCAGGCTATGGAAACTTCTTTGAACATCCCCTTTCCCAAAAGGAATGATGAGAGAGAGAGAGACACCATGGGACAAATGCTTGTTTGTTTTTACTACATCCTAGATGATCTGCCCCACCAGGTATTCATCATCATTCTGCCCATCACTCATTACCCCTTCTCATAAAAGGCTCTAGTTAAGCCAAATGCCTTAAAATTTTGCTGTTTCCTAACAGAGATCTAGCCCACCCTCTGCCACTGTGTGACCATAGGCAAGTTATTCACATCTCTGTGCTTTGAAGTCCTCATCATTATAAGGTAAATGCACTAGGGTTCTAACCTTACATTCCATGGATAGGTTTCAGATATACACAAACCCCTTTATAAATACAACACTGGTCGTATCCCAGAAGAGAACCTGGTGTCAGAGGGGCCAATTATAAAAAGGGGACATTACAGTTGTACTGTATTCCCTTTTGCATCTTCTGAATTTCAAGCCAAAGGAATGTATTATCCACTCAAAAATAAATGCATAAAAYATATATTAAAAAGCAAAGAAAACATGTGGAATAATCGGGGCACAGKGGCACACACCTATAATCTTAGTGACTGGAGGTAGAGGAATGAGGATCTCAAGTTCAAGGCCAGCCTGGGCAACTTAGTGAGACCCTATCTCAAAATAAAAAATTTTGTTTAGTGGTAGAGCATCCTGGATTCAATCCCCAACACCAGAGGAAAAAAAAGTGTGCAATTCATAGACAACCTGTTACTTTATTAGGGGAAAACCACAATTTTTATTAGATTTTTCTAAGGTATCTCTGACCCCCAAAAGGTTTAGAAAACACTTTACTAGATCACCCAAGGATCATTTCCACTTCTAACTTTCTTTACTAGGTGAAGTTTACAAGGAAACAAAAGTAAATTTCTATACTCATTATATCAGCCACTCCAGGGCAGGATGGATGTGAAAACGTACCTTGAATCTCAATATTTTGGAAGTTGATGTGTTTAGCTATCCTCCACAGTGGATCACTCATGATGATACCTGCAGGGATCAAAGTCAAGAAATGAACTCCCTCGGTGTATTCTCTCAAAGCTGTTGAATTAAGTTCTCATTGCTCTACCCTCATGCCCACTAGAAGAGATACCCAGCTTGGGATGGGCACAGAAGTAGTGATATAAATAAATGCAATATAGACTTAGAAAGTTGACTACTTTGACTCTGAGGGGGAAGGAGGTAGAAAGAATGAGAAGTGGAAGTGGAGAAACCCCAGGTGACACAGAGATGAATGAAGGCTTGGTTCATCCAGATACCTGGGTCTGAAACTCTGAGACCCACAAGAATCCTCACATGCTACAGAGTTGGGGGGGGATTGCTTCCTAGGTATTGCACACAGAATGCTTCAGGGAAGGAGGGACTTAGCAAAGGATCAAATTAAGTTAAGTCACCAGAGTAGCAACTGAATGTGTCCAGGAAAGAGGAAGGTTACATGGCTAAAAAATAAATTATAAATAAAATAAGTAAAAGAAAGAAAGAAAGAAAAAGAGGCAGAGACACACATAGAGGGGGAAGAAGGGTGAGCCACCATTTAACAAATAGCCCCTGGCTAGGGTAAACTTTAATTAACTGCGCCATTATAATTCACTTTCAGCAAGTATTCCACCCCAACCCACTCTTTCCCTCCAGCTCCCTCCTCCTCTCCCCCAGGTCTCATCAAGTCAGGCTTGAAACAAAACTGGTCTCCTTTGCTGGATGCCTCATTATTACAGTTACTGCTTTTCTCGCTAATAATAGCACCTGGCAACAAGAGAGGGGAGAAAACTATATGGTCTAAATTCGTAATGACAGGCCCCCTTGCCTACCTCTGTGCACCAGTAATCAAGGGTCTTGTAATCCTAAAAGTTCCTGAGCATAATACCAAAGCCATGAAGAGAGTTCTGAGCAGGCAGGAGCCGGTGAGCACACAGAGGAAGATAACAGGGCAGGCTCCCAGCGGGAGCCACCAGACRCTACTCATAGGGTCCACACCCAGACAGGTAATCCACACATCCAAGTTCATATCACAGCTCCTTCCTTTAGCAGTGGTTAAATTACACCCACGAATGGCTGTCTTCTCAGGCTGCCGAGCCTTAACYCATTTCAAGAGTGTATGCATTGGGAGTGGGGGTTGGGAGCACCTTAGAAGATCTTCCAGGCGAAACATCCTCAGGATTTTTTTTTTTTTTTAATTAATGAGCTTATGAGAAAAGCCAACCCAGACCTTTAAGTGAAATGTGTGATTGGTAGCCAGGCGAGGATGGGTTTTAGAATTAACTCTTCCTACAGTCTGCTATGCATTATCACCCACCCCCAAGTTAATTACCCCTGAGGATGAAAATAGGTTTCATGACTCATAAGCACCAATACAACACTTGGCAGCAGATGAAAATGCAAGGACACATTTGCAGGAAGCTGACACGRATGTCTATTTATATGTGGGGAGATTCTTAAAGAGGTGAGACAGGCACCTCCCATGGACCAGGATTAAGGGACTGCAGCAGATTCATCAATATCTCCCGGGGGCTGGGATGTAGCTCAGTGGCAAAGCGTCTGCCTTGCATTCGCAAAGCCCTGGGTTCGACCCCCAGTTCCAAAAAAAAAAGACAAAAAAAAAAAAATATCTCCCGGTATCCACACCCGCAGACACACAAACACACACACAGTCCTGGTTTCCACCGCTTCTATGATGGTGGTGGCAAATAGCAGGAACAGAAACTAAAAGGGTGTCCTTAACAGCAAGTTCCAACACCAACCCAACCTCCACACCGGGGTTCTGGGCTAACCGGCGATTTGTTTTCTCCAAACGTGCCTGTGCCCACACCCCTCTCGCAGCCCTCCCGCTCCCTCTGGGATAGGAGTGAGGTGGGGTCGCCAAGTTTCTTCACATCTTCCTCCAGCCTCCGAGGGGACGGTCGGAGCCCAGCTCGCCCCGCCCAGGAATGGGGCGTGGCCAGGAATGAATTTCAGATAGGATCKCGGCGTTTTGTTTTGCTTCCTCCCTTCTGTTTTCTACTCTTCTTCTGTTTGCCTCCCAGGAAAGTACAAGGTTCAAACCAGGTTTGTTTGCCTTCCGCTACCTCGGGGCGGGCTGCAGTCTGGTCTCAGCTCCGGGGCTCTGAGCTCCAAAAAGCATTAGTCCTCTGTCCCCTTCCCCACTCCTTGGCACTTCACAAATGCTGCCAAAAAGTTGATCCCATGAGTAATTGCATGTCTTCACCGATAGAAATGGATTTTATTAGGTGTCATAAGTAACCTTCACTTCAGGAACCGGGTTTAGGTTTTTTCCGCCGCCAGCCCCGGTTCCCCATCCCCTGAACCCCCACTCTGATCAGCTGTGTTCTGCCTTCGGAAATACTTATTAAAAGGCGGAGGGCATGTAATGAGCGAGGCGAACACTGCTTTTCCAGCGCATCGACTGGAAGCTGCGGGGGCTCTCCCGTGTCTGGGCTCAGCATTTGCTTCCCGGTTGCCCACACCCCTCTGCCCTCGCTGAGGAATCCTAGCTCTGTGGCATTTTTTGCTTGCAATGTGCATCAACAGTGAATACTGACATAGCCAAGAGGMGAAGCACCCTAGCTTTTCTCCACCCAGCCCCCCACGCCCCACTGGTCAAGTCACAGATGCACTGGGTATCAGCGTATACTCATGGCCACAGGGCAAGGCACCAGAAAGCGTTCCTGACAATGCCATTTGCAGCTGGGCCCCATTTCGGGGGAAAATAGAGATGCTGAAGAGTAAACAGAAATCGCTTAGTCAGCAACTGTCGCCTCCCCAAGAGGTGAATGTAAATAGCCTGGTACTGAGGGGGAGGGGCAGCCAGCCAGGCAGCACAGGGCCTTCCTCACAGGCCAGCTGAGGGCTTTCAAAGGGACTAGCATTCCTGTTCTGTTGAGGGTAGGGAAGGTGTCCCCTAGGTCGGAGTTGTGTGGCCTTAGCCCTAGAAAGACAAAACTTGCTGACTCGGGGCAGAATTAATATCAATTGAATTTATTACAAGTTACTAAGCTCCAAGGCACATTACAGTGTTCTGTTAACTACAGAAATGTATAAAGGACAAACAGAGCAGATTCTCCATGTCTAGCATTTCGCTCTACTGTTCAAAAGCATCCGTGCATCAATAAAGCAAAAACAAAACAACACGTGAAGATCCAACACATTCAGGTCAGTAGAAACAAACCTAAACATCTTCCCCTCACAAACTTGCAACAAAAAACACCCCGTCCCCCCCAACACCCCCCTTACCATTTTGCAAACAAAACAGGAAAACAAAACAAAACAGAACAGAACAAAATAAAGTGAAGACTTCAACACTTGGGGCTGTTTAGAAAGAAGCTTTCACCATTTTATAGCATCATTATTATTWTTTTTTTTTTTAGGCAGCAACACTGGCCTTGGCAAAAAAAAAAAAAAAAAAACTTTTTCTTTTGTGTGTTTTTTTCCTTTCAGAGTGCATAACATTTACAAAAATACACACCAGCAGCAGTCGTTGCTAAGGGCTATTAATTCTGTACCTAGGCAAACATTCTGCCACCAAATAAATGCTAACGAATATGATGCAAATGACCCAACTAATATTATACTGCTTAACACAAACCAGCTTATCCTTCAAATGAAGAAGTTACATACCTTTGTTTCAAAATATAGAAACATAC